GGAACGATTACGGTGTTTTATTTTGATTTATATTGTAGAAATGCTAAAAATATGTATTGACACATTTTCTTTTCAACTTGAAAAGGACCTTGTACCATAGACCTTTCCTATTAGGTCGACACAGTGAACTTAAGCAGATCTGTGAGTTTGAACTTAACACTGCCATGAATGATAAATCAGTTTTGCCACATCTAAAAAGCTGCTTTTTGTAGAGCAACAATTCTTATGTGGAAAGCTTTAAATTAATTAGTCTACTACCGCCAAAGCCAACAACCATTTGTCGCATTGACACAGGGTGTCCCTCATCAACCATCTCCATGCTAATTACCCTGATGTGGTGAGGGAGAAGGGAAGAGTCGTTCCCGAGAAGTGCTCTGCCACTCATTAACGCCAAATCATACCTTACTCTCTCTCATTGTATTGACAGCACAGAAATTGGTCTGACCACTGGTGGAGCAGCTGTCATGGATCATGCTCAAACGTAATCCCACAGAGTTTATAATTGCTTGTTCCCGCTGTGCCAATTTTTTTTTTAAACAATCATTCCTTCTCTGCCTGCCCCACACCTCCTCATCCCCACAGAAGAACTATACTGTATATTGAAAATAGTGCATAGTTTGGTTCTCCTTTGCGCAAAGTCCATTCCTTTCGCACACTTATAGAGACGTGACCCCTACTATTTGTGCAAGCGTATGACAAGAACAAAGAAATTTCAAGGTGAAGCATTCTTTTCAGGTGTCTGAACTAGAGAAAACATGAAATAACATTTAAGCATCTTCAATGAACGATGACTTGAAGCATCATCACGATTCTCCTGGAAGACGATATCAGCATTTTCAGTGAATTGTGTGTGAAACACGTCAGCTTTAGCTGTTCAGTCATGTTGAGAAGTTCTATTATGAACTGGATAGGCTTCATGTGCTCTCCATACCCTTCACTGGAGTCTTGTGATTCAGAAATGGATAACAAAAGTGTGACCACATTTTGGTTTTCCAAAAGAGGACATGAGGAATATGCGGCATTTGAAAGTAAGATAACAACAACGCCTTAAGAACAAATGGCAAATATTTGTTTTTTCATTAGTCTTTTGAATAGATCATGGCCGGCAGCCTGGTGGTCAACTGGTTGGCGCGTCGGCCTCACAGTGCCTGCGTGGGTTTTCTCCGGGTACTCCGGTTTCCTCCCACATTCCAAAAACATGCGTGGCAGGTTAAGGGATCACTCTAAATTGTCTCTAGGTGTGATTGTGAACGCCAATGGTTGTTCGTTGATGTGTGCCCTGCAATTGGCTGGCAACCATTCAGGGTGTCCCTCGCCTACTACCCGAAGACAGCTGGGATAGGCTCCAGCACACCCCGCAACCATTGTGGGTCTCGGTGGATCAGAAAATTGATGAATGGATGGGTCATGGGCTTCCATACCATTACTCAGGTTAGAGCTGTGCTATGTAACCTAGAGAGAAGTGAAATTCCTTGAGAATACAACAACCCCAATCAACAAGAATATTCACAGGCATTCAAGATGAGATGATAAAATCCTAGTGGCTTTTTAAGAGAAAAGATTATATCTGGTAGCTCTACTAACAATGCCTGACAATTTTATCAATGAGACAAAAAAACATGGCTTTTTAATGTAGTTGTTGCGGCAAGATTGCCGGGTTTGTTGAATGCTTCAAGACAAGCAATTTGTCATTTCTGTTGCTGTGGGCTTTGGGTAGCTAGAGCCTGGACTTTGTGTCTCATCATTTACTGCACTAATTTCTCAGGAGAACACATTTATCACGGACCTCTTCACTGGGTTGCCAATTTCACTTTTTTTCATCAAGCACTCCGTGTTTTGAAAACAAATTTGAACCTTTCAAGTCTGCTCAATTAAGTCATCAGTTGATTTTGTTGTATACTAAATCTGTTTACCGTTGCACTGCACTCACGGAATTAAATCAATTTGCAAGTTTTGCTGAAATGGAGGAGAGCCAATGATTTGCAATGAAATTGTACCTTCAGACGTCTGATCGTAAATTCATACTGTGCACTTTGTCATTATCTTTTCTAGCAGTGTGTGAAGGATGCAATTAAAACTTCGTATCTCATACAATGGACCAATGTTCCCTCGAATTTTCCTTGTGTCTCAGCAGTCACACAAACTCCTTGAGCACAGTGGCCAAACCAGTATCACACTTGTCCAATATCTAAGATCAGAACAAGTTACATTGTGTGAGTATGTTACAAAAAAAATTAAAACCACATATATTGCAAAATAGAACTTATCATTGAATAGCAATTTATGACAAATAAAATCAGCCCGTTTGTTACTCTATTCTTACCACACACGTCATTTTTAATGATTAATTAAGTCTCAGTACAATCTATACCAATATTGTTCCACATTATCCACTCATGGAAACCATCTTATTGTTTTTACTAGTAATAATCCATCCATTAATCAATTTTCTGATCCACTTCAACCTCACAAGGGTCGCAGGGGGTGCTGGAGCCTATCCCAGCCGTCTTCGGGCTTTAGGCGGGGGACACCCTGAACCGGTTGCCAGCCAATCGCAGGGCACACAGAGGCGAACAACCATCCACGCTCACACTCACACCTAGGGAAAATTTTGAGTGTTCAATCAGCCTGCCATGCATGTTTTTGGAATGTGGGAGGAAACCGGAGTACCTGGAGAAAACCCACGCAGGCCCAGGGAGAACATGCAAACTCCACACAGGAAGACCGGAGCAGGGATCAAACCCACGACCTCTGAACTGTGAGGTCTACGCGCTAACCAACGTTCCACCAGGCCTCCCCACAAGTAATAATAGTAATAATATTGAATAAAAAACAAATATCTCTAGTCACCTGACCCTGAAAGGCACAAAAGGGCCTCACTAAGGGGCTCATAACCTACGCCCATGTTTGGACTTAAATCGAGCGGTCCACGTGACGTCTTCAGCATCAAGTCAGTGGTGAGGCTGAGTGTGCATGTGTGTCAACGTATGCTTCAAACTAAGGTAGAACTACTGCGTGTGCACTCTCGGTCGCGTTACTAAAACTGGAAGGGAAGTGGGTATGGTCTGGTGTCCTGTTTGTAGATTAAATTTTAGCAGAAATGAAGGACTGAGTGTAATTATGTAATGTGTTTGGTGTGTGCCAATTACTCAAATGCGCAAACTTGGAGGGAATGTTGCAATGGATCTTCAAATGCCAATTTAATCGAACAATTTAAGATTTACCCTAAAAAGTGACCAACTAGGGAAAATCCATCCGTCCATCCATTATCCAAACCGCTTATCCTCACACGGGTCGCGGCTTGCTGGACACCCTGAACTGGTTGCCAGCCAATCGCGGGGCACCTATAAACGAACAACCATTCACACTTAAATCACACCTGGGGACAAATAACATGCTCAATTAACCTACGATGCATGTTTTGGGATTGTGGGAGGAAACCAGAGGACCCAGAGAAAACCCACGAAGGCTTGGCAAAAAGGAGGGCTGGGCCTAACTAACAGTGTGAGCTAAAGTGGCGAATACAGGACTGCCTTGATTTCTGAATTAAATTTGTTCCCTCACCAAGCACATTGCCCCACACAATACGTCTCCCTTTCAAAGATGGTCCAATCCTCATCAATGGCTGTGCAAAGTTTGCTGGATGCTGTCAGGAATCGAAACACTGTCATTTGCGCCCATCCGGAGCATCCCATACATGCTCGACGGGTGACATGGCCGGTGAGTATCCTACCCATACCAGGACTGTGATGTTTTCACTTTCCACAAATTGTGTACAAATTCATGCCACATTACATGGGCCAGGCATTATCATGCTGCAACCTGAGGTGATCGTCGTGGATAAATGCCGCAATGATGGGCCCCAGAAACTCATCACGGTATTTCTGCGCATTCAAAATGCCATCAGTAAAATGCCCCTGGGTTCAATGTCCATTACAAAGGCCTGCTGATTGTATCACCTCACTGCCACTTTGGGGCAGTTGGTCCACAACGTTAACCAACTCACCCACACGATGCATTACACGCTGTCTGCCATCTGGCCTATTTCGTGAAAAAAAATAGATTTGTGAAGGGAACACCTCTCCAAAGGGTCAGACGCTATCAAATGTAAGCACTTTCTCACGCGAGTCAGTTACAACAAACTGCATTCTGGTCAAATGTCAAATGCAAATGTTTTAGTTGACGAAAAGTGACTAGCCAGCATGTCTGCAATTGACGTTGAGATGGAAGCCTGACAAGATTCTGATGGTCTCCACTGACACCAATATATTGTGAAGTAACGCTGCTGCATTAATTAAGAAATTTGTGGCTGTGAGTGAGGTAAACTAAATTACTTTAAAGAGATGCCTTTTTGTGTTGCAAACTAGTAGGGCTCCCTTTCAACTCTGCCTCTTGCCCCCAGTCAGCTGTGAAAGATGATCATAAACAGAACAAGAGTCTTTTCTATTTATATTAAATGCTCCTAATATGTCATTAAGAATTTTTGTTAATATTGGTCAACTATTAATAGTTTTAGCATCGGAAATTGCATCTTCAGCTTTAAAACCGAACAGCTTCTTGATGGATTAGGTGATGTTTTCAGGAGTTACGTGGCTTTATTTATTGGCTTTCCGGCACTGACATTTGCTGGATATAGACTCTGAAGGTCAAGAGCATGGGTCTTTTTCACACTTATGTGAAGACACGCAGAGCAAAAAGGCAACAAACAGTATTTGAAATCCACGCAGCAGTTTAGTGTAAAACAGAAATGAAGTCATAAAATGCATCATTTTATTGGATTATACAGCGGACACATTTAAGGTAGAATGTTTGCATTTATCTGAGCACAAGATCATTCTTTCTGACGGCCCTGCTGTCACCCTGAAAGTACCCGCTTGAGACTAAATGGGAAACCTTTTGAAATACGTCTTGAGTGTTATGATCCGTTGAATCCCCATCTCTTGGCAAAGAGTGTCAACGTGTCAAATGTGCAGCAGGCCCCACGACGACAAATAACTCACAGCAAGCAGAAGAGGACGGCTTTCTTTGACGGCTCCCACGCAGCCAAGGCAGCCGATCACCATGATGATGGTTCCCAGAGCGATGAGCAGGTTGGCTGCCGACAAGGAGGGAAGGGACGCCGACAAGGTGGCAAAGTTTCCCTGGGTCACTGAGAGCCAAACGCCCACCCCCAGTATGCCACAGCCTCCAAGCTGCAGAGGGAACACAAGAGACATGACACTGTCAGTAGATCCACAAACAGAAAGGCTCACAGGTGATGGCTTGAAAACAGAGCAAGAGTGTCAGGTTAACAAGGGCCATTGTCTGGAACTGATAACCTTAATCCCAAAGGAACTTGAAGTCAAACCAACGGTTCTTTGAAGAACAAATTGCCACAAAACATCTTGTTTAAAGTGTGGTACACACATACCGATAATCGGGCAAAATTTCAGCATTCCCCCCCACCCGTCACAAACAGAATCTGCAAAGGCTTGTCTGATGTCTGTCAAAGATTATTCCGACCGATTATCCTGATGTCTGGTGTGTTAACAGGGATTTGCCCTACGTGAGGCTTTGAAAATAGTCCAGGCCGACAACCGTAAATATTTAACATGTTCAAAAATTGTGATTGTAAATCCTTATGTGTTCGGCCAATGCTGAATTCGGCTGAGCCACGGGCTCCATGATTGTAATATGAAGCCAAACGATAGCCAAATTGCAGAGATCTGAAGTTGGCATTGTTGCCAGACAGTGTTGAAGGATCATTTGATTAAGTGTTTGTATAAAACCTCTCCTAAGTTATTCGCCACAAAAAAAATGTTCGCAACCACGCTGTAGTTACCAGATACATGTAAACTAACAGTCAGCGTATCATATTGTATTTCTTGTTATCATCTAGTATCTCTCTTTCTTCTTTTTTGTATTTACCAGCACACTTAATGACCCGTGGCAGCATGCTGCTGCCTCCCACAGTTAACTTTCTGCACTAAAACCGACATCCCGAGTGCACGACACACCATAAAAGCAGTAAGCACCAGAGGTGGGCCACTCGAGTCATATGACGATGAAGGACTTAAATCAACTCGAGTCACTGATTTTATGACTTTCGTCTTGTTTGGCAAAAACTGAAAGACTCGACTTTGATTTGAACTCCAATACTTCACAAGTCATTCTGTTCAATATATATTTTTCAATATGGTGTGTCTGTTTTTGAAAGAAAAGTTTGGGAGATTTTTTTTTTGTTTGTTTTTATGACATGCGCACGGAACACCTGGCAACCCAGGCCACCAATAGGCTACAATATGAAACGAGTCATGGAGGAATTGCAGGGCCTATATATGCAAAGCAAAGCACTGTGTGTTTTCTGCGCATAGTGAGCATCGGCCCTGACTTGACGTACAACTTGCTCGAACCAAGTAACGACTTGACTGGCAACTTGATTTGATTGGCTTGATATTTTTTTCCGTAACTTGGGACTTGCTTAAGATTTGAAGGTGACAACTTGATACGTGCACGTATGTGACTTACTCCCACCTCTGGTAAGCATATACTTGCACGGATGAGGTGTGAAAAATTGGTATGCACCCCACTTGAGTTTCTTTGTAATTTTATAGAGTTTAACTACAATGAACACAAAAAAAACAAAAAAGATTTTGCAATGAATTTTTCCATCCCACAATAAAAAAAGGGTCGATCAATAACTCCAGGGACTTCATCAAGCTGCAATAACACCACTTCATTGAAATTCAATCAATCAGTGAGCTATTCGCAGCCTTTAGTTTTTGTTTTTTTTTTGGTTTTAATTTTTCTATTGTTGCAAGTTTCTATCAATTTTGGCTTTTCTGCATTAGCGTTGATGAAATGTTTGTGACGACTCGAGCTGATCAATTGGCATCCCCTCATCACACGCTTGTTTCCTCACTTACTCATTCGAAGATGCATGATGTGCTGCGTAATGTTCGTTTGCCAACAAATAACAGTTTGCCAACATTTCCATTATGTTCTTTGTGAAATTGATTAAAAGAATTTTGATTGAGGTGCAATGTTGTCATGAAACACAATAGAGAAGCACTTTTCATTGGCAGTCCACAGAAAGTAGCCGAAACTCACTGACAAAATATCAGAGAGCGGAAGCCATTAACTTGAAAGGGTCGAGGTAAGGGAAATACATTTTTTGTTGGAAATTATATTCCAGGATTCACAGTGATATTTGTTTTAGAAATTTGCACAAATTTTGTCACATCTCTGAAAAATAATACGATATTGTGTAATATTACATGTGAAGCATGTTCAAGAGGGAACAATGTCCATAGTTGGTTCAGAGACATTTGTCGATATGCTCAGCCTATATGTCAGACGCGTTCTGTAGAAGTAGCTCAGCAGATGACCGATCCAGCCATCCAATTTCTATAGCATTGTCCTCATTTAAGGTTGTAGGGGTGACAGGGGACTTTGTTCGAGAGGTAGGCTACTCCCTGCATTGATCGCCTTCCAGTTGTAGCAGATGATCCATCAAAATGCTAATTATGGACATTAGGACTAGCTGAACGATGGAAGGGCTCTTAAGAAAGGCACATAAGTGTCAAACGCCTTGGGGCAAGAAGCCGACTCTGGCGTCTCTCTTCTTGTGTATGTGTTGAGTTGTGTGTGTGTGTGTGTGTGCATGTGTGTCAATGTGTGCATGTGTGTCTGTGTTTGTGTGTGTGTGTGTGTGTGTGTGTGTTTGTGTTATATATATATATATATAAATGAATGTAAAAGTAAGGAGAGTGATCGGAATGTTTCTTTTGTTGTAATAAAACCACAACGGTGGAAGATGTGGGGTTGCCATGGTAATGGCAGTGACAATATTCTCTTCACTTCAAACCACTGTATTATCACGATTTTGAAGGCTCAAGGATAAAGGGAAATTACTACATAGTGTTACTTTACATGAAAAAGACTTGTTATGCTAAAATCTTGTGATGGAAAATTTGCTGTGTGCAGCGTGCTTTCTCAACCTTTTCCCTAAAAAGTCCCTCAAATGGAATGAAAGTGGGAGAACAGTAGTGACGTTTATTTTTTTTTTCCTCAACTTATGTTTTTCTCAGTTTAACGAGCAATTTCAAACACAAGAACAACAACAACAAAAACACAATTTCAAATTTGAAAGGAATTGGACTTCTTTGGTGCGTGTGTGTGGACATTTCGGAGCATGCTACATCAGATCTTTTTTGTCATCTCTGTGTGCTTATTAGGCACACCATTTTGTGAGGAACGCAAAAGGTTGTGGGAGGGAGCTGCATGTTTATGATGCACATCAGTTATGAGTTTAGAAACAGACAAATACACAAACCATTACCATTTGTTCTACATCCCATAGCCTCGAAGATTTAACGAAACAACATATGAGATTACTGTTTCCCCATGAATTTAATGAGTTCTTTGACTGGAAGTAAGGCAAAGCGAAAATTAAAGGAGCTGATATGGTTGATTCCAGTTTTGCTCACAAGCCGCCGCAGCTGGGAAACTTCGGCGCATAGCAAATTAAGGATCTTGGGGTGAGTTTGACTCACAACGAAGGCTAATTACTACGCCACAGAGTGTGTGCTTTCATGAAGATTGGCTACCGAGTGATGGGTGAAAGATGAAAGGGAATGCCGGGACTAGATGATGGTGAACATTTTCGAGGTCATATGCTCATCAGAGAAGGTATTATCACGTGTGTGTTACTCATATTCTGCAAACGCGGAGCACATGTTCATTGAAGTCAAACACGTCTCCATATCACTTTCGAATTTACAAAGATATACTGGTCAAAGAAAGACAAACAGGCAAGTTGACCCTATTTCTATTACTTTTGCTTGCGTCACAGGTCGGTGACATTGTTTCATCTTTTATCAGGGGGTTTAATTCCTCCTCTGTGTATTAGAAAATAAAAATCCAAAAACATTGTGCATTGTGACGATGCACGTTCACCTTCATTTCAAACAGCAGCCACTCAAACAACAGGACTTACATGCTCACGGGTTTGCAGTGTGCCAACGGATGCCGTCCTTTGGGCTGCTTCCAAATGTTTAAATGATGTGCTGATTAGTACTTGTAAAATTAAGCGTGGTAAATGAGCTTCCGAGCAACTTGATACAGGAAGACAACATTTTGAACAAGATTTACACTTCAAGGTTGACGTGACTGAATTCCAGCTGGAAAATGCCTGATGCATCTAATTTGGTGTTCTCGGATGCGCGTCAAGCCTCGAACATCATCCATCCGTTTTCTATCCCGGATGTCACCTGCTTCAGCTGACTCTGAGGGAGAGGTGAGTCACACCTTAGCCTGGCCGCCAGTCAATCGCGGATAGATTTTGCTTAATTTCTGTATTATTTGTTTAATTATTCACAAAATAAAATTAATCCAGCCTGAATGTATCTAATACGGTACACTTAATATTTTCTTGTACAACCTGTTGAATACATCTTGGTATCAAATGATTTTTGTCACTCTCTGTATGATGTCTGCATGTATTGTACAGCATCGACATGGATTTTGGCGAGACAGCCCGCTCCAGCTGTCTCAGGTTTGAAAGTCGCCTTCCCCAGACAGCATGCTTCAACTTCTTCGTTAGATATTCAGTATATTGGTTCATACAGTGTTCTCCTGTGAGTACACATAAAATGGCCAAAGCTGTTGGAACCTTTACGTTAAAGAAAGAAAAACCCACTATGGTCACTAAAATAGACAGGTTGAACTTTTCTGGCAGAAAATCCTTTGGACGGATGGGGAAAAAAAAGGGAGCTTTTGATGAGTTACATGTATCGATGAGAAACAAATTGTCAAACTAGATTTTATGATCGATGGACAGGATAAACACTTTTCAACACTGACCTTATATCCATAATAGTTGCAAAACAGTGTTGTAGACTATTGCCAATATATATATATGTTTTGTGAAAGTAACACTGCACTAACATCAACTGTCAAAGAATCTGTGTTTTACTTTTATCAGAAACTACATGTGCTGTAAATCACTATTGTGAGCCAGCCAACGTTATAGAAACATTCTGTCCATTTCAAAGAATATCTGCATCCAACTGGCAACAAAATTGCTGTTCAAGAAAGCAAATATGACTCAAGTGTTGACAAATACAAAAGATAGCAAGGCTTGAGTCACAGAACACAATGACGCTAAATAGGAAAGCAACCACATAGTGTGTGGTCTCGGGATGCCATGCGA